CCTGGGTACATTAGGAATGGAAGTCGGTTCAAAGACTGAGGCAGACAGCTTGGTAGCTGAGGAGCTGGTAGTGTGGCACTTTTTTGGAGCCTCTTTTGTGGCAGGTGCCTTTGTCCTTGTCACCTGTCACCTCATGCATGATGCCAAGGGTATGCTCCCACAGTTACATGCAGAGCTGACTAGCCCTGTTCTTGTGGGCCTGTTTTGTAAAGGCCTGGCAGTGCTGACATTTATCTACCCAGTGCTCCTCTCCAAGGCAAAGAGTGGCCAGCAGTGGATGGCATTTTAACACACTATGCACATTTTTGGAAGGTCAGCATGCTGAGAGGCATTGGGACTAAAATACGAACATTTTTTAAAGAAATTATGAGAGAATAAGAAGACATGGGGAAGGGTAGAAGAATAGAGATTGAAGTTATAGATTTGGAAACTGGAGAGTAGGTAGATTAGTGTATAGTATAGTAGTGAGATTTTGAGGAAATCGAATGTTGAGAGAAAAAAGTTTACAAAGAATGCTAGAGACCCTGATGCACTTGCAACTGGTGGTAGAAAGCAAACTGAGAAAATGGTGGGAGCCATCCTATTTATATAAGGGGGAATGGGGGGCAGGACTCGGGTGGAATGTTCTAGTCTAAGCTAGAGAAATCTTCCTCAATGAGGCACTGAGCAGGCACAGCACCCATATGTGTGATGCACAGAGACCATGAGGAAGAACAAACAATTTTAAATACTCAAATAAAACAGAAAGCTATTTAACATACTGTCTTAAGAAAAAACTGAAAGGAGAATGATAACTGTGCTGAAAAGAGGTAATAATTGCATGGAAAAAGAGATACATGAACAGTTCACCCTCTTTTTTTTAAAAAATGTATTAAATGTGCTATTACTGTCCAAGAAACAGTAATAGCACAAGCTATAAGAAAATTGAAGAAAGATAAAACACACAGCTCAGACAGTTCTACAACAATGTATTACAAATGTTTAGAAGAAAAATCAATGACACCACTTGAGAAAATAATGAATGAAATTAATAAAGAGTAATCATTACCTTCATCAAGGAAAGAAGCTCATGCACTGATAAACAAAGAAGGCAATGACCCTACTTTGTCACAATCTTACAGACCTATCTCACTATTAAATGTGGGATTAAGAGAATGCATTGCAAAGTAGACTTTATAAAGATCAGACTGGCTTTGTACCAAAGTGAGATATGAAAGACAATGTTTGTTTTGTGATGAATGCAACTGAATTTGTGAAGCAGCAGTAACAAGCTGCATTTAAGCTTTTAAATGCTGAGAAACTATTTGATAATGTTTCTGGGTCCTTTTTGTGAAATACTCTTTGTTATTTAAACAATGGTCCATGATTCATGAATTAAATTTAGGCAATTTACACAAAATAACATGCAAAGATTTTAATAAATAGAACTCTGACTAATGGTTTTCAAACAGATAAAGGGACACGTCAGGGATGTCTATTATCGCTACTTCTATTTATTCCTATATTAGATGTCTTAGCCACAAAAATAAGGCAATATCCAAAAATTAAAAGCTTGAAAGTAGAAAAATACAAAATTAAAAGTTAATGACGACTATATAGTTTTGATGATTCTAAATCCACATCTATCCATGCAATATATAATAGATCAAACTGAAACATTTGGAACTTTTTCAGGTTATAAAATTAATAAGACAATTTTTAAAATTTCAACAAAATAGGAATAAGAGAATATTTTTTAAAAAATCTCATGATGTAAAATAACTTCTGAGTCACATATCTGGGAATAAATGTGACTGAACATAATAATACGCAATACCAAGACCATTATAAAATAATGTGGACAAAGATCCAAAAAGTTCTACAGAGATGGTATAAATCTAAAATGTCATGGCTGGGAAGAATTCCCACTTGTAAAAATGAATGTCCTACCAAAGTCGAACTTTTTATTTCAATCAATCAATCAATTGGCTATTTCAGACAATATCAATTTTCATTCAAATTAAAATCCTATGAGAGTGGCAAAGACAACTGAATACCTTTATCTGGAATGGGAAAAAAGGATTCGATTGTAAAATCCAAAAGAAAGAGGATGCATTACTTATTATCAAATGATATTAATATGCAGGTGGATTGGTTTGGGTTACAGACTGAATTTAAAATCCTGATGAAAGGCTAATAAAGGAGGAAGGAGAATACTTCCAAAATCTTTCTTTAATTTACTAGACGAATTTAGACTTATAGATGTTTGGAGACATAAAAACACAACTATAGCCAAATATACTTTCTACTCGAATAGACATAGGTCATGGTCCAGAATTGATATGATCTGGATGACCACAGATCTAATTCCAGATTTGCTAGAAGTTGAAATAAACACAGACATGTGGGCTGATCATAATCCCATAACCATGACCTTGAAAGGAATACCAAAAATCCCCCGATGGACACTTAATACGTATTAAAAGATACAAACTTCAAAGAAGAAATTATAAAGGAACTAAAATTCTTCTTTCAAGAAAATAAAGTAGAAGAAACCTCTCCACAAAATGTTTGGGATATGGCTAAAGCCTATGTCAGAGAACTGATTATAGCCTATACAGCAAAAGCAAACAAAAGGAAAAAACAAGAACGACTTAAACTTATAGATGAGCTGATGAAGCTCGAACAGGAACTACAAAAAGATCCGTCAAAAAAAGATCTTAAGATACAGATGAATACTTTAAAACATATATTGAATCTTTTAGAAACAAATGAATTACCTAAACAAATTAAAATCGCTAAGCAGAATTTCTTTGAAAATGCTAATAAATCCAGGAGATGGTTAGCTTGTAAACTAAAGAAAGAAAGAGAAAAGAGACTAAGTTGAAAGACGGAGAAGGACAACTACAAGTACAAAGTGCATCAATAAAGAAAATAGTCGAAGATTTCTTTACAAAGTTATATCAAGCCAAAGAAGTATCAACTGAGAAAATTCATGAATATGCACAAAAGGAAAATTTACCAAAGTTGTCGGAGAATCTTAAAAAAATATGAAAATGAGGAAATAAGAATGACAGAAATAAGTGAAGCAATTAAGAGGTAGAAAAATGATAAAACTCCTGGCTCGGATGGACTACCAGCAGAGTACTATAAATGTTTTGAAGAAATCATAAGCACACCACTGAAGGACATAATGTAATGCTGTATTATCAGAAGCCAAAATACCGAGTACTTGGATTGAGGCAAATATTACTTTAATACTGAAAGAAGACACGTACTTGACACAGATCCAAAACTACAGACTAATATCAGTCTTAAATGAGGATTACAAAATTTTTGCCTCTGTAATGGCAGAAAGGTTGAAGAAATTCTTAATAGACTTTATACCTGCAGACCAAAATGGCTTCTTGCCTAAGAGGCAAATTAGAGACAATGTGAGGATTATCCTGGATATTTTAGAGTATTATGAAGCACATTCTGAAAAACCAATGGCGTTATTGTTCTTAGATGCACAGAAGGCATTCGACAATGTCAACTGGCAGTTCATGAAACAGCAATGAAAACAAATGGAATTTGGTGAAAAATTTATAAATGCAATAACAAGAATTTATCAAAAACAGACTGTCAGGATAATAGTTATTGGAGGATTTACAGAGACTATAAATATTCAAAAAGGCACAAGACAAGGATGCCCCTTATCACCACTGCTATTCATACTGGTTTTAGAGGTTCTCAACAGTAGTGTTAGGAAAGATATGGATATTAAAGGAGCTAGAATTAAAGATGAAAGCTATAAAATTCAAACATTTGCAGACGATCTAGTTTTTATTCTAGAAGACTCTTTGGTAACAGTGTCTAAACTACTAAAAAAATAGAAGATTATGGGAGAAGTTACTGGGATGAAAATAAATAGAGAAATGACTAAGCTATTAGTCAAAAATCTCTCATTGGAGCAAAAAACAACTTTGATGAAACAAGTAGATCTTCAAATAGTTAAAAAGGTCAAATACCTGGAAATTTCTTTAACAGCTAAATGTGCTACACTGAAAGAAGACAATCATGTTAAATTGCTTAAGGAGATTAAGAGTGACTTAGAAAAATGGGCTAACCTACAACTATCACTGTTGGGAAGAATAGCTATAGTTAAAATGAATATATTACCTAAGCTTTTGTTCTTCTTTCAAACAATCCCTATAAAAATTGAGAAAATGTTTTTTGAAGATCTAAATACACAAATTCCTGGCAAATAGATGGGGAAGACATGGAGGTAGTGACAGATTTTATTTTCCTGGGCTCCAAGATTACCGCAGGTGGAGACTGCAGCCAAGAAATTAAAAGATGCTTGCTCCTTGGGAGAAAAGCTATGGCAAATCTAGACAGCATATTAAAAAGCAGAGACATCACCCTGCCAACAAAAGTGCGTATAGTCAAGCCTATGGCTTCCCCAGTTGCAATGAATGGCTGTGAAAGCTGGACCATAAGGAAGGCTGAGCGCCGAAGAATTGTGGTGCTGGAGGAGACTTGTGCGAGTCCCTTGGACTGCAAGGAGATCAAACCAGTCAGTCCTAGAGGAGATCAACTCTGACTGCTCTTTAGAAGGCCAGATACTGAAGATGAAACTCAAATACTCTGGCCACCTAATGAGAAGGAAGGTTTCACTGGAGAAGAGCCTAATGCTGGGAACAATTGAGGGCAAAAGAAGAAGGGGACGGCAGAGGATGAGGTGATTAGATAGAGTCACTGAAGCAGTTGGTGTGAGCTTAAGTGGACTCTGGGGGTTGGTGGAGGACAGGAAGGCCTGGAGGAATGTTGTCCATGGGGTTGCAATGGGTCGGACATGACTTCACAACTAACAACAACAACTGATGAAGAAAGCTATAGGAGCAATAGTACCCTGGCAAAAATCATCAGTCTTACTTATCATAAAATGAAAATACTTTCAAACATGATCAAATGAAATAACTGAATGACCCAGAACATAACAGCTGTATTTTAAATATACATTAAGTTTCCCAGCATACCGAAGATGATGAACTTCTGTTTTGTCATCTTCATTTGATCTAGTTATGATATGAAGTGGAAGATTTTGTTTTTGCCAAGTCTCTGTACTTCCTTTTTCATGGATCACAAGCAATTCAGAATGCTTTCCCAGTGACCCAAATGGATGTACCAAAGTATAGCCTGGAAGAGAAGTCCAAATTAGTTTTAACTACCATTCAAAATCCTAGAATCTGAAATAATCAGAGACAAATTAATTAAATTAAGCACACTCATGGCTTTCTAGAACATTCTAAATTATAACATCTTCTCATAACCTAAATCAATTGAAGTCTGACTTAGCAGGTTCATTTAATGTATATTTAACAAACAAAACTAAAGCAGGTATTCCATTTAAATTTGGGAGCTCTATCCTTTTATAAAGTTTAATAACCAAAAATATTTGAACTGAAATATCTGATGATAAAACTAATTTAATAAAGTACAATCAAACTATTTTACATGTTATATGTAATGTTTTTCTTGGAAATTATACTTCAGACTTCTACATATCTTTAACACACAACTCTGGTTTCTCTCCAGATAATTTAGAACCTAATTAAATAGCACATGATTACTTACATTGTTTAGATTACAATGGAATAAAATGAAGGAACAGAAAACTTAATGTACTAATTTTAGAACACCAAAAGAACTGCAAGTGTTTGGGTTAGCTGGAGTTTTTGAGCACTTCATAGTGAGGCCAAGCTGTTTGTTCTTCAAGAAGGGAAACAGTGAGGAAAAAGCTTTGTATGCACACCAGAGGAGCATTACACAAATTTAACTTTGAAACTTTTAAATAAAGAGTAATTAAGAGGCAATGGAGAAAAAAGAGAGTATTATCTCCAGTATCCCTACCTTGGACTCCTTTCTTGGGTATCGCCATGTGAAGAATTCCCAGAAGAAAATTGACAAGTTCTGGGATGAATCTTTGAGACAGGGATACATATTCCAACAAAAGACAGCAAACAAACAATCCTTTAGCAATATCTTGTAATGTTGTTACTGAGCACTACAAAATAAAACAAAAACAAATTATAGAAAGTTAACTTTATACTAAAATCAGCACATGTTGTACTCTTTCCTAAGCCTCTATTTGCTCATGAGGAAGCAAACTGCCTGTCAAAACTTTTCATGAGAATAAGGTGGAGGGGACACTTTTGCACCTTTCCCAAAGCACTTAAGAGGTTCAGGAAATAATACAAGACATGCATCAGTGTGTGGATTACCTGGAGGCAAAAAAAGTGGAGGAACTTGCTGTGAAGAGAGATGAAATCAAACTACCTCCTTTTCATGAGGAAAGATCACTTGAACCTTTGTTTCTCTCAACTGTTCACCTTCTGGCAACACTCAAGAACAAGCTAATGGGGGAAGAGGCCCTTTGGAGTCTCTTCTGAAAAATGTTCAGGGTTTTACTGCCTGCACCCTAGCAGCAACCCCCTGCCTCCAGGATACGCCCCAGTGAAAACTTAAAATCCCTCAAGTTACAGCAAATATGGTTGCAAAACTTTTTTTTAAAGCATTTCTTAATTGCTTGATATGGATAGTTTGTTGCTCAAAAACAAGCTGCCCAAAGAAATCAGTTCAAGTTTTACATGACATGACATGTTCAGGCTTCACATATCATGGCAATGCAGTCAATTTCTCTCAGCTCCTTCTGGAAAATGTTAATGTACACTTTTACAATGGTATAAATGCTAAAAGGAAAAGGCCATCATCTGTTAGAAGAGAAAGCTGTTCTCACATGTTACTTGAAATTCACAAATGAGGGGCAAATCCCTACCAAATGCCAGTGTAGCAATTCCTGCATATGTACAAAAAGAAATTATATTTTTTACAACCTTAGAGAACATGCGGTAAGATGAAGCACACTACCACTGCTTTATATTTTTATCCAATTCTACACAGATTAAGATCTTCATGTAAAAATTGCATGACAGCATCTATGCACAACATGAAAGGGAGGAGCAAAAACAAAATAAGATTAGGCCAACACTGAATCAAGGCACTTTCCACTGTCAAGGCACTTTCCACTGTCTGAATTCACCATTCTTGCTCTCCTTTATAAAAACAAGCAGGCTGCTAAGCATTACCAACTCTCCTCAATCTATTTAGAGAAAAATATATGTCGCTTTTCAAGGTTCTTATGCCAGATAGTACCAGATAGTCCTTTCACCAGTCTTTCTGGCCACGCTTCCCAAGGTTCCATGCTTTGTTCTCTCTAAGCCACAAACATATAATAATTAAGATTCTTCCATATGCATACTGAAGCCCAGTAGAACTAACTACAGAACCCTTACAGTAGGTTCCATCACAAGCACTGTGCAAGATTACAATCTCATACCAATCTTCCAAACTTCTCCTATGGCTAATAAACACAAACCAAGGAGAAAGGCGAAGCACTATTTTGGGAAGTGGTTTAAGCTCATCCAAGGGGAAGGAATTCTATAAAAATGTTATGCCCTCAACTTGGTATACAGACAATGTAATAACCCACTTCCAAATATTTCTAACTATAATTTCAAATGGGGTCTTATACATTTTAACTAGGTTGCTGCAGAAAAGTATGTCATTCTAACTTACCTTTATAAGTAGCTGGCTCATATATAACAATGATGGTGTTATCACTGGATGCCAGAAATCAGAAGTTGGAAAAAGGACTGCAATTATTTTCAAATATATGAGCTGAAAGGATAAGGATTCAATGTCAATAATAAAAGCAACATACACATTATTAGTTGCATTAATAACAACTTAGTAAGGAACTGAAGAATTCAGTGTTACTATTGTATCGTGGGAGCTACTCCTGTGGGATCCAGTGCCATACCACTCCACTCTTGTGCCACCTGTCAAGGGTGTTTTAACTTGGAGTCCTGCACTGAGCAGGAGGTTGGCTCAATTGTCTTATAGGCCCTGTCCAGCTCAAGTATTCTATCTAACTTTGTGGAACAGGAACCAGTTGTCATGTGACATGCGACATGCTGCAGCGTGTCGTGTCGTGTCATGTTGACATGGCAACATGTCATGTCACGCTATAATAGCGCTAAACTATTTGAAGTCATTGTACAGCCATACACAGGGCAAACTTGTTATTCACTCCTCTTATTCAATTTCTTTGTATGTATAAATGAGATCTTTTATTCAAAGAGGTAGAAATGCCCACCCACAGGATATTATAATGGAAAACAAAAGGGGCTACCATTGCAGGTGAGTCATCTGCTGTCAATATAAAACCTACCAAATGAATTTTATCCTGTCTTTAAAAAAAAGCCAAAAGAGATGTTTCAGTATAAATAGATTTGCTGTATGAGATTAATATACCTTTCACTTATCTGAATCTAGTTTACAACCAGAAGTATTATCATTTCCAGTAATATTCTGAATCTATCCAGTTGGGGCCAATTGCACCATGACACCTTCCAAACCAGAACAGCATTCCGGCCATTCCACTAATTTATATCCCTTACAATTGGGATACATAGCAAAATATTGCCATGTATCCTTCTCATCTCAAAACACGAATACTTGTGATCAGCGTTTGAACTGAACAACCATGCCCTCCTCTTTAGGATACAATAAACTGACAGAGATATGGGCCTACTTTGTATGATATGACAATGCACCAAGGTTGATCAGCCATGGTAACTTGTTGTTTAAGGCAAACCTAGCAGAATTTCCATGAAAAAAAATCACCTGCAAGCAAACCACATTAAGAATCATTGGCTTGTTTTTGGGTTGCTCATACCACTGGCTGTTTCTTGTTGAACCCAGAAGTGTGACTTCATTAAGGGTTGGCAGAATGCAAAAGCAGCAAACCCCATGCTACTTCTCATGATCTCACTAGTGTTGCTCCATCTTCCCTCATCCCTCCTATTCACCCTGTTTCTAAAAATTGAGAAGAGTAGGCAATGAAGAATGTTCTGAAAACAGTCACATTTTCCCTTGGTCCTATACAAGTGTTCAGGAACAAATGTTCACTGCTAGGAAATTTGCGTGATTCCCCCCTGCATTATATTGCTTTAATTTGAAATCTGCAAAATCTCTTTTAGTTTCACAGCTATGTCACCTGATTTGCACAATTTTTCCTATTCTGCCCTGAGATTTGTACCATTTCTCCCTCTATTTTACTGCTTGAACATTTCCTTGCTTTTAGTGAATTTGCTCACTGCTCTCTTTCCCATATGTATATGAAAGTAGCAAGGAGATCCATGAAGGCTGGGAGCTGTCACAATATACAGCCATGCCCTCCCACCCAAATCTAGGGTATTAATATAAGTTAACAGAGAACTAAGCAGGTCAATTCTTTTTCTTCCCCTGTTCCTACATCCACCCTCACTCCTGGTTTTGCTTTCAAATCATGCACAAATATTTATCTGTCAAATGCTTCAGAGAGCCGTGACCGGTAGACTTACATGATGGTTTCCTTTAGTAATGACAACACATCCTGCAAGTACACTATGTGGTGTGGGTTGCTTGTGGACCGATCTGCAAGAGTGCCTGATAGATGATCAGGTTCGCCCTTGGTTCTCTCTGCTCCTCTTCACTCTTCCTGTGGGTGTTTCAGGTGATTTCATATCAAGAGCCAATTTGCCTTCCCTCACTGTGGCTATGGTTGCTACAGCATTCTGTTCTTTGTATTTTTGGAGATCACTTTTTGCAAAGCCCAAAGTAATTGCCCCTTGAAAGTCTCCCAGCAGCATTTTTAAAGCTGTTGCCACTGATTCATCCTAATTTTTATACAACTGTACCCAATTTTCAGAGCACTTTAACTACATTATTTGTTGATGGTCCAAAAGTCTGACTATTCTAAGCCATTGGACTCATCATTGCTCTGGAGGCACTATCTATGGACATTACCAAAGCAAGGCCAGGAACAGGTTAATTCACTGCTCTGCTGCTCATTTGACAGTTGTTAAATAAAAACTGAGGGAAACATTGGGGGCAAAAGGTGATTGCATATAGATCATCCCTATCACAATAGGCTCTTAGGATTTTCTTTGGATGTGTTATTCACATGATCTAACCTTTCCTGATGTGCAGAAAAGTGGAAGTCACCCCATTTATGGCGCAATTTTGACAGCTGTCAAAATTTAGGCTTCTCCTCAAAATGTGTTTTTTTGAGAGAGAGCTATGTGGGTTTAGTTAACACAACAACTTGCCCCAGGTACAACCATCCCTAAAACAAGTCATGAGTTGTTACAGTGGCTTCTTACAAATAAGCCACCCTGTGCAAAGCAGGCTGGGTTTGCACAACATGACAAACCACTGTGAATCTATCTGATCTCTGGGTTGGTTTTTTCCCACTCCCACCCCATCTATAAAGCTACCTGCTATCATCATTCTGTGCATTTACAGGTTCTTGTCAGGCAGTTTATTTAATGTTTTATAAGTAACTTTTCCTTTCACAGGTACTCAACCATCTAATTTCTCCATTAGAAGAAATGATACACTAAGTTTTAAAATTGTAAACTACTTTGACTTCACTGGCAGAAAGGCTTCATATAAGTAAAATGAAATATACCATGTCCAGTCCTGGAAATCTTGCATGACTTTTTACTTCTAAAATTTCTTCTATGTCATGAGTGGCATCTTGAAGGATAAGTTTAACATGATTGCTTGCGGCCTTAGGGAACATCTGGCAAAGATCATACAATATCCTGTCAACAAGAAACTCAAGTCAGTATCAAGTTTCACCACAACATTTTATTCCTCTAAGAGCAACACTTAAACACTGGAACTAGCTCATTAAGACAGAAGCATAAAAATTGGGCCTTTATAAGTCAAGATGATATTCCATCTCAGAGACTCACTGGAAGATTCTGAAAAGTTATTACTGCTTAGTCTGCACATACTGAGTCTATTCACACATCACAACCATGTGTGATGTGTGAATCAAGCCAAATTGCTCACTAAGCCATGCTACTGCCAACAGACATAAGACATGTCTTATGGTTTATGTCTTACTTCATTTTCCTGTCTGCTCCCAGCATGTATCCCAGGGACCTTTGTGACACAATGTCAATACTCCTGTTGTGACCAGATTCTTACTCCCTGCTCCACTTTCTTGCCTTGCAAAGTCCTTGCACTGACCTATATGTGCTATATGTATCTGTGGTACAAATCACTATGGTATTTATTTACTTTTTAGGATGTGGTAATTTTAGCTATTTTCTCTCTTTAATACTAAGAAAAACCTCTTTAGCTGCTCCTTATAGGCTTAGACAAGTAGCATTGCTCTTTCAAGCACAGCTATGTGATATTATGTTATACTTACAGGGCTTACCTCCAGGAAGAAAGGATTTAAGCTTTGTTCCCACCTGTTTTCATACTGAAATTCCAAACTAATGGTTTTTTTTTTAATGAAACATTTTTAACTCCCCATATGTGACAATTTCAGCATGTTGTTAAGAAGCATCGTGACTCCTAACTTCCCTCCAGTATTATGTAGACGCTTCTTTAAATGAAGTGTTACATTTCAACTTTCATACTACATAAGGAAGCACAATATGATTTATAAGCCTATCCCAGACCAATCCCTGCATTTCTACTAACTGATCAGCCCACTGAGAACACCACAACCCCCAAAGTGTGTGGAGTTCTCACCAAGACATGTCAGTTCTTCACTGAAAGAAGAGGTCTTTTCTTAAAAAACTCATGCTTCTCTTCTTCAGTGCAATGACCTCCTTTATTGAAAACTCATTCTCCAGTATAGCAGAGGAACTGCCAACCTGGGTGACTGCAGGGCCAAGTTTCCAGGAGACCTCAACACAGAAAAAGCACCACGCCAGTTCAGACCAAAAGACTTTCTTGCTGGGCATTCTGCTTCCCCAATGGCCAAACCAGATTCCCATTTCAAATGAGTGCAACTCCTACTCAACATAATATTCAGTCATCATGAGAAGTAGTCATAACTTTATCCTCCATGTAATTGTCTAATATACATTTAGATCTGTTCAAATTGATACTGTCTCACTTTACTTACAGGACCAACTTGTCAATTGTTTTTAGTTCTGGTGGATCCTTACGTGCCAGCTCCCCAACATAGTCCAGAAGGAATCCAAACAGTTTCTACAGAAAACAATTTAAGGTCACTAATACATTAATTTTAAAATAAAAATTACTTTATTCCTTACAATCAACAGAACTATTATTCAGATTGCTGTTTGAACAATATATATGATTACAAAAACATACTTCTAACTTTGCTTTGTTTCCCACTGCAAGGCTTGGATGATTTGATTTCTGAATCCTCTCTATCACAAGCAGTTGCTCTTCCATTGTTCTTTCCCACAATAAAGCTTTAAGTTGTTCATAAGATTCTGGAGCTATTGTAAAAATGAACAACACAAAAAAGGCTTATACATAAAGTGCTTATACTTGCATAATAATTCTAACAGGAAAAAATAAAACCTGTTCTGTAAATAGATTTCCAAAAGTAAGTTTTCTGTTAAAGAGCTAGCAATTGCAACTCTATGTTAAATCTGAGATGGATTAATCACATTCCAGCATTATAAACAAAAATTGGAACAGGATGTAGTAAATCTTACAAAGTGACTCAAAAGCTTATACTAAGAAACTTGAAAAGACAGAAGTGAAAGTCTAAGGACAGTTCCTACAAGTTTAGGAAGCAAAGAGTTATATATCTGCAGGAGTTTAAAAAACGAGTAATTTTGAATAGACTGTTAAGTACCCCCTCCAAGACTTTGCCAGCTGATTTCTCTGCACTTGGTCTTTTGGGAAGATTTTTTGTCTTAGATCAAGGGAAGTGTCTGCCATAGGCTAGAAGTGTTGTCTGAGCCCTCATATAAGGTATTCATAGCTTTTACTTTAAAGTTATTTATACTGCTAAAATACAACATACAAATATAAAAATGCATCATAAGAAATAATAAAAGAACACAAAATACAGAAAAAGAAAGAAAAAGAAAAAAGAAAACAACTAGTGCACCCCTCCACTGGGACCATGGCTACATAGTAATTATTCATTCATTCCCTTCTACTTCCTTCTTCTAAATTTCTGCTCCTTCAGAAATACCCCTTTCTGTCCAGAATTGCACTTAGTCATCTGAAGGTTTAATACACTTCCCTTTTATTACTACATGTTCAATAAACAAACCCCATATAAAATCATTCTTGTCAACCCTTTTTTCACCTTAATTCCACACATTAAATTAGCATTAACAGCTATATTCCAGTTCCGTCAACTGGAAATCCCGTTTCTCCTTCCAATTCTTTGCTATTCTTAATCTTGCTGCTACTACCAAGTTTGTTAATAATTCTTTAGCATACCATTTCCATTTCTTTTAATAAAATATTAACAATGATGCTATTTCAAGATCTGCTTCAGTTTTCAAGTTCAGTATCTTGCTAATTTCCTTTAAAAACATTATCCAAAATGTCTTAGCATTTTCACATTTGCATATATGGAAACATATACCCACTTTTTGCCCACATCTCCAAACATAAATTGGAATATTATCTATATAATATAGTTTTACCAGCATCAGGTACCATTTGCACACTAATTTATAGACATTTTCCTTAATTCTAATTGACATTCTCTTATTCCATATTTTCCATTTTACCATGTCCATATCCCTCCCTAAATCCATTTCCCCTGAAATTTTAAGATGATCATATTGGTCCTCCATGTTCATAACATTAAACCAGGTTAATTTTTCTTAATACCATGTTCATCCTTTCCTTATTATCCATTGTCCCCAACCAGTCTTTTAACCTAAATATTTGTTTTTCCTTTAAAACTTTTCTTAAACCAGCTCTCAAATTTTGTGAGAATCTTTTAATTTCTGTAACTGGAATTATAGGTGAAATTCTTCTCTTGTACTTCTCCCAAATTTGTATCATATTTTTAAGAAAGGAATTTTCTCTTTTTTTACAATATTCTTATCATTCTGTTTAAAAAAAACTTAAAAGAGATCCCTCACTTTGTTGTTGTTCTACCTCTCCCCATATTAGCAGGATGCAATATAATGTTGAGTATAAATCATATTGATTTGCTACATATTATAGTTTAATATTCAGAATACCTAATCCCCCCTTTTGGTGATTTATAACATCTTTTCCTGCTAATCCTTGCTTTCTCATCTCCATTACTAAATTTATTCATCATATTTTGCCAATCTTCTAATTTTTCTCCTAATATCTTAATTGGTAACATCCCAAAATTTTCATTTTATGTACTGCTATTCTACCGAACCAAAATATTCCCATTTTCCTAAATTGCTGCATTTTCTCCTTATTTTTGATTTCAGTGCATCAAAATTGTTCCTTTTTAGACACTGGAGTTTTTAAAAAGACATTTATACCTCGATATTTAATAATTTTATGTATCTTAATTTGAAATTTATTTTTAATTCCCTACCTTTCTTCTTTATTGGAATTAAACAGCACCATTTCAGATTTATGCCAATTAACTTGCAAACCTATTACATCTCCAAATTCCACTAAATGATTTTGAGTATGGTCTATAGCTTAAATGGGTCATTAATTGTTAACATTGTATCATCAGCAAATAAGCTAATCTTAATCTTATTCTTAAATCTGATACTTTTACAGTATTGTCATTTCATATGCTATTTGCTAGCAATTCTATAACTAAAGCAAACAATATCAAAGAAAGAGGGCATCCTTGTCTAGTGGAAGAACACTTGCCCCAGGACTGAACCCTGAGGTACCCCACTTGCTACCTCCCTCCAGTTTGAGAAAGTGTCATTAATGAGTACTCTTTGAGTCCAATTCTGTAGCCAACTATGCATTCATTGATACTTGTTCTATCTAGCCCACTTTTAGCTAGTCAGCTAATCAGGATTTCATGAGGTACTTTGTAAAATGTGTTGTTGAAGTCAAGATATATTAAGAAAATAAGAACTTAAGAAAAGCCAGGCTGGAACAGACCAAAGGTCCATCTAGTCTAGCACTCTGTACACATGGTGGCAAACCAGCTGCACAGATTCCCTCGAACAGGATAGGTGTGAGAACTCCTCCTGCCTAAGCTCCTCAGTAAGTGGCATATGCAGGCATGGTACCTCTAGTTAAGGAGGAAGCGCACAGTCAGCAAGGCAGCTAGCCACTGATAGCCTCCTCCTTCACATTAATCAGTCCAATCCCTTTTAAAGCAATCCAGATTGGTGACCATAAGCACTTCCTATGGCAGCAAATTCCATAGTTTAACTATATGCTGTGTGAAGAAGTACTTCCTTTAAAAAATGAGTAACAATATGATAAAAAATATGTTAATACCAAGATGGAGAGAGAGGGAGGGGGGAGAGAGAGAGAGGGAAACTTTAAACACAAAAAGTACACCCCCACACACGGACCTTGGCTACATAATAACTACTTGCCTAAATATTAACTAATTATTCATTTCCCCATTCTTCTTTACTTCTTCATCTATACTTCCCCTCTATACTTCATATATACTTATTTTTTAAAAACCAAATTACACTTAACGTATCTCCTACCCCCCTCCCCATTTACCTAAACTATTTCCCTTCTTTCCCCAGGAAAATCCCCTCAGCCTCACCCTAAGTTGAAGGGAGGATGGGGGAAAACTCCCAGTCATCCCAACTACCAATGACCATCTCCCCCCACCTTTATCCCTTATTAGTTATCTTATTTTAAATACTCAGAAATACATAATATCTCACTATTTCTTACTTCTATTGCCTTTATAAAATTGTTCTTCTGTAGGTTATTCTTTACCTCTATACTATTCCATATTCTTGGCTTAGATCTACTACTCAGCTTCTTCTACTTCTTATATTAATAGGGATATTACCATTACATATATCAAATATATTTAAATAGTCTTCTCCCTAATATGCAGCAGCTATCTAACCTTAACCTTAATTAAACTCATTTGATATATCATGCTTTCATTATTAAACTCATCCAACACACCATGCTTTAGACCTTATATTTTTTTATATAAGAATATAGTAAAGTAACTTTACTATTCTTATAGCTTTATATTTCCTAAGTCCTATAACAGTTACAATTCTCTTCTACAATTTTACTAACACCAAACTTAAATTTACCCTTCCCATATTGGAATTTTCCTTCTTCTCATTTCTTAATTTTCCTCAGTTGTTCTTCATCAATCAAGGTTGTGCTTGATCTTGGGGAGACTTCGCCAGCTGCTCCCTGTTCTTCTGCTTGTTCCTGATCATTCTTTTGAGCTTCTCCATAAACCACTGATTCTTAAATCTGCACCACTGCCAGGGCCTTTTTTAAAAAGTTTTTTGACTTCCTTGATCTTCTCCTTCATCCATAAGTTCCCATCCTTGTAATATGTTTTCACTCTGTCCTAGGAGATTTATTATATAAATCTTTCCCTTATACTATATATGTTTTTCATAAACACTTGGTTTCCCCAGCTATATTTGATGTTATTCTTCAGCAGAACAGCCTTTGACTATCTAAATTGCACAGGCTGGAAGCAAAGATCTTGATAGACCTCCATAGGGGCTCCTTTAAATTTCAACCGACCTGTAATTTCTCTCAGTATTTTCATGAATCGTTCTTTCTTGTAATAATTTGAACATTTGATCAAAACATCTTTTGGGAACATCCTGGATCCTTGCTTGTATCCAACTTGATGCATCCTTTCAAAATCTTCTCGTTCCCATTTTACATATGGGATCATTTCTTTAATCCATTCATTTTAAAGTCCCCCCCCTCCGGTGATGTTTAATGTAATTTAATTATTTAATTAATTTAATGATTTCTGGAAGATGTTTAATTTGAATGTTTAATTTATGGTATGAGTCCTGTAACAAGAGAACTGCTTTATCCAGTGCAGATATCTTTATTGCCTGATGGTCTAATTGTAGTGTATATAGTCATCACCTCTTCTCTGTTTTTTGTCCGGAGCCAATATTTGCTTCTCCAGTCTCTTTTTTTCCCCCTTACTATTCTCTTTAATTTTAATGATAACATTTTGAGACTTGAGTTCTCCATCATCTTTCAGATTTCTAACTAGATTCTTTATTTATTTGTTGTTGTCTTCTAATACTTTCCTAACCAATCATCTTCTCCCTCTTCCCCCATTCCTCCACTTCCTCTTTGAGCTTCTTTTTTTCATTCCACAGTATCTATTTCAGTAGCTATATCAGAATGTGCAATCTTAGAAAAATGAAAATCTGAAGGTTTTTAAAATCTCTGCTTTTGTGATCTGAGGTGCCCTTGAGACATTTATCCATCAGGTGGAGCACATTTGAAGAAATGTATTCACATAAGTATCATGTCACCAGGTCAGCAATTTTCATTCTACTTACTTAGAGTCTTATCAGTACCAGAATCTCCATATTCTTGGCATGTTCAGGTATTTAATCAGTATTGCTCTTATTAAGCTCAAATCAGTAAGTGGCAGTAAAAGAAAGCCATAGATACAAAGAGTCAGAAGGGATTTCTTGGGCCATCTAGTCTGATCCCTGGCTCCAGCCAGTTCTGCTCATGTAATCCCCAACAGGTGGTTGTACAATCTTTCCTTGAATACCCTCACCAATGGGGCCTCAACTACCTCCCTTGGAAGCCCATTCCATATCCTAGGGATCCTAACCATCAGGAAGTACTTCCTGGCATCCAACCTGAAGCCTGGTTCCTTGAGCTATGCCCCAATGGAACATATCTTACCCTCCACTGTAGGGAAGAACAGGTCATGACCCTCCTCCACATGACATCCTCTCACATACATATAAGTTGATAAAAGAGCTCCTCAGAATCTCTTCTTCTCCAGGCTGAAAATTCCCTCAATCTCTCCTCATATGTTGTCCCTCCCAACACGGCTAACATTCTTGTGACCAGTGCTGAACCAATTCTAACCTAGCTATGTCTCTCCTATAATGTGGAGCCCAGGAATGGATGCAGTATTCCGGTTGTGGGAGCACCAGAGTTGTGTAGAGTGGTATTAACACCTCCCTAGCTCTGGAAGCCATGCTTTAGGCTATACATTCAAGGGTGGCATTTGACTTCTTAACTGCTGCATCACACTGCTGGCCCATGTTCAGCCTGCTTTTGACAAGTACCCCAAGATCCCTTTCACAAGTGCTGCTCTCCAGTCACTTGTCCCCCATCCTGAACCTGTGAAACCTATTCCTGTGTCCCAAGTGCAAGATCTTCCACTTATCCACACTGAATGTCATCCTGTTGTCCCCTGCCCACTTCCACAGCCTGTCTAGATCCTTAGTTGTGGCCATCGCCCCCACTTTGGTATCTTCCGCGAATTTCGTCAGCAGGCTCGTTATCCCCTCCTCCAGGTCACTGATAAAAAGGGTGAACAGAATTGGTCCCAGAACTGAGCACTGGAGAACTCTGGTTGTTACCAGCTGCCATCCTAATGACTCTGCACTGATAGTCACCCTCTGCCTATAGTCCATAAACTGTGCCCTAATCCACTGGGCAGTGCATCAATCTATCCCAAAGCTCAACAATTTTTCAACCAGGGCATCATGTAGCACTTTGACAAAGGCTTTGCTGAAAACCAGGTAAACCACATCCACCATGTCCCCTCTGTCTAGCCACCTTAAGACCTTACCATAGAATTCCACAAGTCATAAAAGTCTTTTAAATTTCTTCTCATAGAGTTCTCTCTCAATTTCAGAAGGGGAAGAATTGTGGAGGGGATCCTCCTTTATACGTTTTAGAGTCTAATTTGTCAAAGTTGGTAAATCCATGTCCTGGTATTCTGGTCTATATGAAAGGTGGAAAACTTCCCCTTTACTTTGCATCCAAAATCAAGCTGTTTATCTAAGTAGAATTAGTCCATCTATACAGGCATTCAGAGAGCGTGGTCTTCAGTCATCACCAAAAGTTCCTCTGTTCATAGCTTTTCAAAAGTGATTTTAAAATCCATTTTTCAGTGGGAGCACATAAATTCCCTCATTAGGAATGCCTGAAAGGTAGCTGTGTTCCTTATCATGAACATATCTGTCACTAGATAACACAGGGACAAACCTGTGTTATCTAGTGACAGGATACAAGTAGCCAAGTAAACTGGGAAGGCGGGGCAGTGTTTAGTGCTTATACTTACAATATAGCCACTGTTTACTTCAGGATTAGACTGTGTGGTATGCTATATCAGAATACAGAGTTGTTCTTTTTTTGTCTACTTTTTACTGCTCTCTCTCACTTCTTCACCAGAATAATCAATACACCATAACTAATCCTGTGGTTTTTTAGAGGAAAATTGTTGATATACAGTATATCACAGAAGTGAGTACTCCCCTCACATTTTGTAAATATTTCAGTATATCTTTTCATGTGACAATCCTGAAGAAATGACACTTTGCTACAATGTAAAGTAGTGAGTATACAGCTTGTATAACAGTGTAAATTTGCTGTCCCCTCAAAATAACTCAACATACAGCCATTACTGTCTAAACCGCTGGCAACAAAAGCGAGTACCCCTAAGTGAAACTGTCCAAATTGGGCATTATTAGCCATTTCCCCTCCCCGGTGTCGTATGACTCGTTAGTGTTACAAGGTCTCAGGTGTGAATGGGGAGCAGGTGTGTTAAATTTGGTGTTATCGCTCTCACTCTCTCATACTGATCACTGGAAGTTCAACATGGCACCTCATGGCAAAGAACTCTCTGAGGATCTGAAAAAAAGAATTGTTGCTCTACATAAAGATGGCCTAGGCTATAAGAAGATTGCCAAGACCCTGAAACTGAGCTGCAGCACGGTAGCCAAGACCATACAGCAGTTTAACAGGACAGGTTCCACTTAGAACAGGCCTCGCCATGGTCGACCAAAGAAGTTCAGTGCACGTGCTCAGCATCATATCCAGAGGCTGGCTTTGGGAAATAGATGTATGAGTGCTGCCAGCATTGCTGCAGAGGCTGAAGGGGTCGTGGGTCAGCCTGTCAGTGCTCAGACCATACGCCGCACTCTGCATCAAATTGGTCTGCAGGGCTGTCGTCCCAGAAGGAAGCCTCTTCTAAAGATGATGCACAAGAAAGCCCACAGTTTGCCGAAGACAAGCAGACTAAGGACATGGATTAGTGGAACCGTGTCCTGTGGTCTGATGAACCCAAGCTAAACTTATTTGGTTCAGATGGTGTCAAGAGTGTGTAGCGACAACCAGGTGAGGAGTACAAAGACAAGTGTGTCTTGCCTACAGTCAAGCATGGTGGTGGGAGTGTCATGATCTGGGGCTGCATGAGTGCTGCCGGCACTGGGGAGCTACAGTTCATTGAGGGAACCATGAATGCCAACATGTACTGTGACATACTGAAGCAGAGGATGATCCCTTCCCTTCGGAGACTGGGCTGTAGGGCAGTATTCCAACATGATAACGACCCCAAACACACCCCCAAGATGACCACTGCCTTGCTAAAGAAGCTGAGGGTAAGGGTGATGGACTGGCCAAGCATGTCTCCAGACCTAAACCCTATTGAGCATCTGTGGGGCATCCTGAAACGGAAGGTGGAGGAGCGCAAGGTCTTCAACATCCCCAACTCCGTGATGTCGTCATAGAGGAGTGGTAACCTGTGAAGCTTTGGTGAACTCCATTCCCAAGAGGGTTAAGGCAGTGCTGGAAAGTAACTGTGGCCACACAAAATATTGACACTTTGGGCCCAATTTGGACAGTTTCACTTAGGGGTATACTCACTTTTGTTGCCAGCGGTTTAGACATTAACGACTGTGCGTTGAGTGATTTTGAGGGGACAGCAAATTTACACTGTTATACAAGCTGTATACTCACCACTTTACATTGTAGCAAAGTGTCATTTCTTCAGGGCTGTCACATGAAAAGATATAATAAAATATTTACAAAATGTGAGGGGTGTACTCACTTCTGTGATACACTGTATTTGCTGAAAAAGTCACTTCAACATGTTTCTATGTGAAGAAAATATGTGAGTATTCATCAAACTGCTGACTGTGCTCTCTCGCTTAGGTTTTTTTAAACAGTTCTCTAAACCAGTGACCATCTTTATAGTATCTTTTCCCTGCAACAGTGATGCAAGGAAGATATTTTTCCAATGCTTTATTTTTTTGGCAGAAAATTTTCTGCTTCCTAATTCATTACCAAAAATCACTGTATACTATATGGAAATTCCAGTGTTAGGCAAGCTTGGCAGTTTCAAAGTTATGATTAACGTTTTTAAATGATAATCTTTAGCAGGTATGTGAAGCAATGCATATATAACTAAAATACATATGTTTCCACAGCCTGCTTTGCATTATCAAACAAAGCTTGGCTTCCTAACACAGTATGTTTGTGAGTGTGCCAAAGCAAGTGAGAGTGCTGTTTCTTGCCCACTTCTGCTTTAATTAACAATCCAGGAAAGACTAGTTCCTGCATTATTTTGTGAATTGCTAAACTGGAAACTCTGGCTTGTTTTGGGGTTGAACAACCCAGAATAAAACTATCGTTTGTTACTGAAAAGCAGAAGTGGTGAGTGGATAGGGGGCAGCATGCTGACTCAAACATGTGCGACTCTCCTGATTTCTGGGTTGAACAAAAAGACATACGAACTAGGCTAGAATGAAATGTAAGTAACATAGTATTTCTGGTGCACTGTTCTACAAAACCATTGCTTTTCTTTAACTTTCAGCATACCTATTTACTTAGGCTCTGACATACTAAATAACATCAGTGTAAGTATTTAGTATTTGAGATTATATAAAACATAACTATATAGATTTGTGCTCATGAAAAAAAAACTTTAAAATGCTAAAGGTGCAAAATCTAATAATATATCTGATGAAACTGATGTTACAAATTAAAAGACAGCTTACATAAAAGCAGTATTATGTAACTTTTTTATATATGTATTGACCAATTCATATAGTATTGGTGTCTAATAGTGACAATGGAATTTAAGCTGGCTATGAGAAAGTAAAGCTGTGATCAAGACTGACTATAATGAATAATTACCCAAGACCTTTTACTTCTCAAGCAAGTTTGCAATGTGACCTAGAATTGCATATATCCTTAGCTATTTTTGTAATTATGTTTTAGTTATCATTATTTTCCCCTTAAAAATATAATGAGACTGTTTGAATCCTGTGCTCATTTAACAACATGTTATCATCTAGATTCCTAAAAGTAAGGTAGTACTACATTTTACCACCCAGTGCTCTGCTACAGGATGCATTTAATCCAAAAATAAAATTAAAATAATTGCCTTACCATCAAACAAATACGGCAACTCCACTTTGGCAGTTTCTCCCAAAGCATTTTGTTGATTATTTTGCAATTTTTTGCTTTCTTTAGTTTTCTTCTGGTTTCTCCTTGCTCTGGCTTCCTTTATACTCCCCTTATCAGTTTCACAATCACGGCAAGGGTCAATAGCAGCAGCTTCAGTATCTGACTCTTCATCTTCTCTTTCAGAGAGACCCTCTTTCGTCTCATCTTCATCATCCCCAATGTTAAGTTTGCCATCCTATTTAATAGGTCATCATACATTTATCAGAGGACTCATTCATTAACACCAAGAAATTGCTTCTTTCAAATTGTTTACCAGAGAGTGCTGCAGATACCCCACTTGAACTACAAGCAAAAAAAAAAAAAAAAAAAACCTAGGAGTTGGATTGAAAAGATTCTCCCACTTTCTCTCTTCTCTAGATCCAGCTGTTATTCCAGCTGTTACCAAAATTAAAAAACAAAAAAACCCCTTACTGTAGCATGCTACCTAGCTGGCTTCCAACAAGCCACCTCTCCCCTCCCAGCCCCCTGGCGGCACAGGGGGAACCCCTGCAAATGTGATGCCAACTGAGGAAAAGGTGGTGGAGCACAGCCAGTCCCTGTGCCAGTCCGTGGTAAGCAGGATGCAGCCCCTGCAAGGACTAGCAGGAGATCTCTTGCGGACCAGAGCCAGTCCATGGACCAGCGGTTGAAACCCACTGGTCTACAATAAGGACAGGTCCTGCTCTTGAGCATACAGGAAAATGAACAGTTAAGAAATATCTCTGTTCTGCAAATTTGCCTCGATGTTGATTCATAACAAAGCAATGCCCCATTAGGTCAGAGGTGGAAGAGAGTATTTAGACTAGCAGTACTAGTATGCAGTTTCAGCTTTCAGAAAAAAAGGTAGCATCAGAGAAGGAAAATGCACTGACCTGGTAGTGTACAGTAAAGGCATGGGCAACATAAGTATCCTACACCCCTTTTTTCTACAGACCTCTGATCCCCTAACCCACAAGGTAACAATTCCTTATTGCACAGATGGACTCTTTGTGGCCTTCAAAATTATCCAGTCTATAACTTCCATCAGCTGTAGTCAGTGCAGCTAATGATGGGAAATAATGGGAATTGTGACCCTGCAGATGCTTATGCTTACAGGTTGCCCATCATGTTTTATGGAACTACATGATTGGCAAGTAGCTTGTCTTGACACCTGTAGGCTTCTGTAATGAGGTTCTGTGAGGTGTTGAAATTGCTAGTTAGTGAGGGACTGAAGAACTAAACTAATTTACCCAATAAGGATCCACTGATAAGGCTGGCAAAGGGGCTCCCTTCCGGAAGTGCTTTATGTTGCTACATTAGCAGGCTTTCCCTGCTCCTGACACAATGGATACCCTAGCCTAGAAAGACAATTATTAAGGAACTCCAGGACAAAAAAAAAAGGGGGGGGGGAGAGGGAAGAAGGATAAAAATCTTTACTTGAAAAATGGGTCCAGAGACTCAGATCTATTGATCTACTGCATCTATACCACTTTTTCACCAAGCCATTGAAATATTTCTACAATTTAAAAAAGTAATACACAAATAAAAAGGAGATTTGTCTGAGGACACTGTTGGTCTCCTCAGAAACTCCCTCATCCAGTCTTCTTTTTTTCTTTTAGATGCTAGGAAGATGCTAAGATATCCATGTCTCCTATTCTTCAACTTCCAGGCAAAACACTCCCATGCCTAGGCAAAGGACAGGGCCCATGGCACTGCTCACTCCTCCAGAGTCTTGTTCAGTATTCAAAGCTGAATGAGCACTAATAGACAGCCCTGCTCCTTCATGGATCACTGCCTTTTCATGGTGAAGGGGCTTGCATAGCTCAATGAAGCTATGAGCTATGCCGTGCAGGGCCACCCAAGACAGACAGGTCATAGCAGAGAGCTCTGACAAAACGTGATCCACTGGAAAAGGAAATGGCAACCCACTCCAGTATCTTTGCCATGAAAACCCCATGGACAATACCAAAAGGCAAAAAGATATGATGCCGGAAGATGAGCCCCTCAGGTCAGAAGGTGTCCAATATGCTACAGGGGAAGAGCGGAGGGCTAGTACTAGTAGCGCCAGAAAGAATGAAGCAACTGGGTCAAAGCCGAAAGGACACTCAGTTGTGGATGTGTCTGGTGGTGAAAGGAAAGTCCGATGCTGCAAAGATCTATACTCCACAGGAGCATGGAAAGTAAGATCCATGAAACAAGGCAAGCTGGATGTGGCCAAACAAGAGATGACAAGACTGAACATCGACATCTTAGGAATCAGTGAACTAAAATGGACAGGAATGGGTGAATTTAATTCAGATGACCATCAGGTATACTACTACGGGAAAGAATCCCTCAGAAGAAACGGAGTAGCCTTCATGGTCAATAAAAGAGTAGGAAAAGCAGTACTGGGATACAATCTCCAAAATGACAGAATGATCTCAGTTCGAATCCAAGGAAACCATTCAACATCACAATAGTCCAAGTCTATGCCCCAACCACTGGTGCTGAGGAGGCTGAAGTTGACCGGTTCTATGAAGGCCTACAACACCTTCTAGAATTAACACCAAAAAATGATGTCCTCATCATCATGGGGGATTGGAATGCTAAAGTAGGAAGCCAAAAGATAACTGAAATAACAGGCAAGTTTGGCCTTGGAGTACAAAACGAAGCAGAGCACAGGCTGGTAGAATTTTGTCAAGAGAATACGATGGTCATAGCAAACACTCTTTTCCAACAACCCAAGAGACGACTCTACACATGGACATCACCAGACGGTCAACACAGAAATCAGACTGACTATGTGCTCTGCAGCCAAAGATGGAGAAGCTCTATACAGTCAGTAAAAAGTGACACACGCGCTGGTGACTTCCCGTCTTGACTTCTGTAACGCGCTCTACGTGGGGCTACCCTTGAAGACGGTCCGGATACTTCAATTGGTTCAAAATAGAGCTGCCAGGCTGCTGACGGGGACTGGGCGTTATGTTCACATGACTCCAGTTCTCCGTCAGCTTCACTGGCTCCCCATTGAAGTCCGGGCCAAATTCAAGGTGTTGGTGATGACCTATAAAGCCCTGAACGGCTTGGGTCCTGGTTTCCTGAAGGAGTGCTTACATCCATATATGCCTGCCCGTCCCTTGAGATCTGTGGGAGAGGCCCTTCTCCGGGAACCCTCCGTGAAAGAAATCAGGAGGGTGGGTACTTGGAGGAGGGCTTTCTCTGCGGTGGCGCCTAATTTATGGAATGCGCTCCCCAGAGAGGTCCGCCTGGCGCCGTCGTTATTTGTTTTTCGGTGCCAGGCGAAGACCTTTTTATTTAAGCGGCATTTTATTTGTTAATATTATTGGATTTTATCTGGCCAGGGCGACTTATTTTATATTGTTATTTTTTGCATTTTAAATTAAAGTTTGTATTTTACAAACATTTTAATTTAATGGTGTAATTTAATGTTTGTATTTTTTTAACTTAATGTTGTAAGCCGCCCCGAGGCTCCGGCGAATGGGGCAGCATAAAAATGTTTTAATAAATAAATAAATAAAAACTAGACCAGGAGCTGACTGTGGCTCAGATCATGAGCTTGTTGTTGCAAAATTTAGTCTTAAATTGAAGAAAGTAGGGGAAAGCACTAGGCCACTCAGGTATGGCCTAAATCATATCCCTGAGGAATATACAGTAGAGGTTACAAATAGATTTAAGGAATTAGATCTGATAGACAGAGTGCCTGAAGAACTATGGACGGAGGTTCACAACATTGTACAAGAGATAGCAACTAAAACCATCCCAAAGAAAAAGAAATGCAAGAAAGCAAAATGGCTGTCTGAGGAAGCTTTACAAATAGCTGAGGAAAGAAGGGAAGCGAAAGGCAAGGGAGAAAGGGAAAGATGCATCAAACTGAATGCAGAATTCCAGAGAATAGCTAGAAGAGATAAGAAGGCCTTCTTAAATGAACAGTGCAAAGAAATAGAAGAAAACAATCAAAATGGCAGGGACCTGACAGAGGCAGAAGAGATTAAGAAGAGATGGCAAGATTACACAGAGGAACTATACAAGAAAGAGCTTAACATCCCTGATAATCACGGTGGGGTGGTCAATGACCTCGAGCCAGACATCCTGGAATGTGAAGTCAAATGGGCCTTAGGAAGTCTGAGCAACAACAAAGCTAGTGGATGTGACAGTATTCCAGCTGAGCTAGTCAAAATCTTAAAAGACGATGCAGTAAAAGTGTTACGCTCAATATGCCAGCAAATTTGGAAAACTCAACAGTGGCCACAGGATTGGAAAAGGTCAGTTTACATTCTGATCCCAAAGAAGGGCAATGCCAAAGAATGTTCCAACTACCGCACCATTGCACTCATTTCACATGCTAGCAAAGTGATGCTCAAAATCCTACAAGCTAGGCTCCAGAAGTATTTGAACCGAGAACTACCAGAAGTCCAGGCAGGATTTCGAAGAGGGAGAGGAACTCTAGATCAAATTGCCAACATATGCTGGAACATGGAGAAAGCTAGGGAGTGCCAGAAAAACATCTACTTCTGCTTCATTGACTACGCTAAATCCTTTGATTGTGTGGCTCACAACAAATTGTGACAAGTTCTTAAAGAGATGGGAGTACCTGACCATCTTATTTGTCTCTTGAGAAACCTATATGTGGGTCAAGAAGCAACAGTGAGAACTGGATACGGAAACACTGATTGGTTCAAAATTGAGAAAGGAGTTTGGCAAGGCTGTATACTGTCGCCCTGCCTATTTAACTTATATGCAGAGCACATCATGAGAAAGGTGGGCCTAGATGAATCACCAGTTGGAATTAAGACTGCTGGGAGAAATATCAACAACCTTAGATATGAAGATGATACCACTCTCATGGCAGAAAGTGAAAAGGAACTAAAGAGCCTCTTGATGCGGGTGAAGGAAGAGAGTGCAAAAGTTGGCTTGAAACTCAATATTAAGAAAACTAAGATCATGGCATCTGTTCCTCTCACTTCCTGGCAAATAGATGGGGAAGAAATGGAGGTAGCGACAGATTTTATTTTCCTGGGCTCCAAGATCACCACAGACGGGGAGTGCAGCCAAGAAATTAAAACACTCTTGCTCCTGGGGAGGAAAGTTATGGCAAATCTAGACAGCATACTAAAAAGCAG